CTGCCCAGGTGTTTTCTCTGTTCCTCAGACTGCTGAATAGCTCATTGGGTTGAGTATGTGGCTCAGAGACTGTTGCCTCGCTAGTCTTTGGTTTTGAGGCTGGCCAGAGTCTGTTATTTTTTATTTATTCGTTTTCTGCTATCATATTGTATTTTTTCCCCCCATTTTCTCCCTGTTTTAGGTTTGTCATGCCTGTGTCCTGTTCCCTTCTACTCCTCGTTGTATTCATGTTCCTTGTTATCTTAGTGTAGTCTTCCTGGTTTGTATTTTCTAGGTTCAGTGCTTGTTAAATGTTCCATGTTTCGCTCGTTGTTCCTGCACCCTCTGTGATTGGTTGACTGTCTGAGGTTCCCCACTGTGCCCCTGTCGTTAGCCTGGTTGTCTGCGGTATTTAAGCACTGCTCCTGCTCAGTATAGTCTGTCACTGTGTGCTATGTTCCTGTGTATCTGTTCTGGTGGAAGTTCTGGCTCCTCTCCTGTTCTCGGTCATTTTGGTTTTTGTTAGTGTGTTGTGTTTCTTTAATAAACCCCTTTTGTCTTGGTGCCACAAGTGGATCATCACCTTTTCCCCGCCTGCGCCATGCCCCACTGTAACACTGTAATGTGTCAATACTTCTGGGGAGAAGCATCTGCAAAAGGATTAAATGATGCAACACCCTCGTTCTTCTCTGTATATCAGTCTGTAGTGTCTATCTATGGAGAGTATTATGGGCTATATAAGTATATCTGCCCTTTTGCCCCACCCATCACTGTATGCAGGTGACTGGGAGATGCCATGTCTTGCATCTTCCCACTCAAAGCTTTGCTGTCTGTTTTTTTTTTTTTTTTTACCAGAAATTCAATGGATGGGAATTTGCATGGGGTGGGGGGGCGTAGAGTGTTACAGACTCAGAATAAGGCAGCGAGTAGTGTCTGCAGTGTGGTAGCTTGTGATGTCTGGAGATGTCTGGAGACAAGGAGGGAGAACTGACCACTGGGACTGAGCAGCCAGTCCTCTAACCCCTCTAGGGTATCTTACAGGAAAGCTGGAGTCCACATCACTCACAAAAGGTGCCGCGTCCACATCGCTCACAAAAGGTGCCGCACAACTCCAGCTGCAGACGAGATAAGAACATTCACCTGGTGTGAAGACCAAGCCATTTGTGTCTATTTTGAAACAGAATGTTAATAATCTCCACATAATACACAATTCATCATCACCAGAATATGACCGTGTCTGCTGCAGTATGACATAAATAGCCCAGTTCATATTAACATTTATGGGATTATTTTCGCAGGAGTTTGTTTTAAGCCCCCCCACTTAGCTGTAAATGGCATTATTTGTAATACTTGATGGCAGGTTCACGTGGGGCTGGCCCCATGTTGGCATGCTGACATCTGCAGATCAGCCCAAGCCTGCTGGGCCTGGACTGTCCAGATTCGACTATTAGATTATTGACTTCTTGTGTGCAGCTCAATCCCCAATCTAATTAGATTTATTTAACTCTGCTGTAATTCATTTATTGACATCTGCCATGGAAATACCTGGCTTAAAAGCATATTGTGGCTGTTTTCCCATCCATCTGTCTTCCCTTCCTTTTCTTGTCTCTCCCCTCCCACCATCCCTCCTACTCTCGTTCTGCTTTCCTTCTAGCTTCCTGTTTTCTGCAGCCGAGAGGGGTTTGCACTGGCCTCAGATCATCCCGAGCTGAGCTGTGATGTCAGGCCCTGGGCTCCAGGTTTCCCTGCTGAACAGCGAGGAACTAAACAGGGTCCGTGTTGAGATTATGAAAAGCTGTCTGCCACTCTTGAGATTTTTTGCGCCCCAGTGAAGGATTTTTAGAAATAATTTGCGGCAAATTATTAAACAGTAGAGGGCGCTGTGGCATCGCTGAAAACACAACATAAATTCAACAGTTAAAACGATGTTAACTATTAATCCTTGCCATTTAAACTTGGCCTTGGCGGTCAACTCTGTATATTCAACTTCACTAATTATTCATGAACAAGCCTCCACTAGACAATTATTAGTAATATAATAGTGAAACATGAATCCCGCTTAGGACCGTACACAGAGTTTTAGAAATACTGAGGTGCAGCACACCCCCCGCCCCCCGCATAGGAAACTGAAACTGCCACCACCATCATGAAATATAAAAAAGGCTAAAATAATGAGATATTTTGGAAATTAGTGTTTATTTAATATTATACCACAGTTAGTTCCGACCAAGAAACCTGATTGGACAGGAAGCTTTTTCTGAATGAGCGCACTCAGACATTTGCGCTGAGGATGCTGGGAGCGCATGTAAACAGCCCCTGGGTGTAATAGTTGTAAATGGAGGTACTTGACCTGCTTCATTGGCCCCCCATATGTTTCAGATTTCAGCCAAACTAGTCTCAGTCGTATGTGCCGCGTTTGTGCCGGATTGTACCGTTAAAATTTTTGTTTGTGCTGTTTTAGTTTCTGAGATATAAATGTTTGTTTACATGGTCACGTGACACCAGCGTGAAGTTAGCCCCCCCATTTGTGTCTGATTTACACCAAACCGATCGCAATCTTATGTACTGCGTTTGTGCTGGTTTGTACCGTTAAAACTGTTCTTTGTGCTGCTTTAGTTTCTGAGATATTAATGTTTGTAAGGTTGTCCCCCCTCCCATTTGCGTCTGATTTCGACTAAACCGATCGCATTCGTTTGTGCCATTAAAGCTGTCCTTTGTGCTGCTTCAGTGCTGATATATTGCTTATTTACATGGTCACATGACTCCGCCGTTAAGTTAGCCCCACATTTGCCTCCGAATCGGTCTCAATAGTTTGTGCCATTTAAAAGTTGTCTGTACTGTTATTTTTTATACCTCTTAGTTTATGCCTTTACGTGATCATCGTATAGTGCTCAGGCTCATGTTTCTCATGTTAACAGAAGGTGGAGCGTTTGATGACTCCGCGACAAAGCTGCACGCAGACTTAGTCAGCGATGAGGGCAACGCTGCAGATCACTCTGTCATACTGCTTGACTTAGAATAGCAGACTGGTTGCTTTAAAAGGAGGGTGGTGCTTGAAATCATTGTTCTTCCTTGTTAGCCCTGGTTACCTGCAAGGAAAAATGTGCAGTCATCATTGCTTTGCACAAAAAAGGGCTTCATAGGCAAGTAAGATTGCACCTAAATAAACTATTTATCAGATCAACAAGAATTTCAAGAAGGGAGGTTCAATTGTTGTGAAGAAGGCTTCCGGGCGCCCAAGAAAGTCCAGCAAGTGCCAGGTCCGTCTCCTAAAGTTGATTCAGTTGCGGGATTGGGGCACCATCAATGCAGAGTTTGCTCAGGAATGGCAGTAGGCAGATGAGAGTGCATCTGCACACACAGTGAGGCGAAGAGTTTTGGAGGATGGCCTGGTGTGAAGAAGGGCAGCAAAGAAGCAACTTCTCTCCAAGAAAAACATCCGGGACATTCTGATATTCTGCAAAAGGTACAGAGATTGGACTGCTGAGGACTGGGTTAAAATTATTTTCTCTGATGAATCCCCATATCAATTGTTTGGGGCATCGGAAAAAAAGATTGTCCAGAGGAGAAAAGGTGAGCGCTACCATCAGTCCTGTGTCCTGCCAACAGTATAGGATCTTCACACCATTCATGTGTGGGGCTGCTTCTCAGCCAAGGGAGTGGGCTCACTCAAATTTTTTGCCTAAGAACACAGCCATGAATAAAGGATGGTACCAAAACATCCTCCGAGAGCAACTTTCACCCAACCATCCAAAAACAGTTTGGTGACAGTTTGGTGATAACTAAGTGGCTCAGGGAACAAAACATCGACATTTTGGGTCCATGGCCAGGAAACTCCCCAGACCTTCATCCCATTGAGAACTTATGGTTGATCATCAAGAGGCGGGTGGACAAACAAAAACCCACAAATCCTGACAAACTCCAAGCATTGATCATGTAAGAATGGGCTGCCATCAGTCAGGATTTGGCGAAGAAGTTGATTGACAGCATGCCAGGGCCAATTGCAGAGGTCTTGAAAAAGAAGAGCCAACACTGCAAATATTGACTCTATAAACTTAATGTAATTGTCAATAAAAGCCTTTGACACTATGAAATGCTTGTAATTATACTTCAGTGTACCATAGAAACATCAGACAAAAAGATCTACAAACACTGAAGCACTGAAGAATACTTGCTCAAAACTTTTGACCACGACTGTAATTTATTAGTTACTGCAGCTCTAGTCCAGGCAGCCACACTGTCATCATTTGTGAAATGCTTCCATCTGGCGGGAATTTGATAGTACTACAAGCATGCTTCCCATTGGCAGTTGAATTGTAATTGTTGCCATGGTTTATCACTAAGGGATACCGATGTATGCGCTGTGTAATAGAGGATTCTGGACCTTAGAAAATAGAAAATTAAGTTAATGAAATCCTTTATGCATAAAGTCCTTTCTTAACTGAAAGTGTGAAAGTTCTGTTAATTAACCAGAAATCTTTCAAAGACTATGTTGTGGCAGAACCAAAAACATGCGATTGCAATTAGAATAAAACACCCTTTTACCTATAACTCATAATCTTCTAGCTAAACCTTTAAACAACATTGAGATGAATGAATTTTAAATGATATCTCAGGTCATGGGAAGGTTACAACAACAAACAAACAAATTTATTTTTGTATAGCGCGTTATCACAACATTACATCGTCTCAAAGCGCTTTACAGCATCCCCACCCAAAGCCCCCAGTGAGTAAGCCATAGGCGACAGTGGCAAGGAAAAACTCCCCAGAAGGAAGAAACCTTGGGAGGGACCAGACTCAAGATATGCTAATGCTGGGCCTGCAGCACAATCCAGGGAATTAAAAAGGAACAATCAGGAAAAGGATTAAAAATGTAGCCACTTAGAATTTTAGATTAAGAAGTGTAGCCATATATATACAATTGCTAAGTTTAATAGATAGTAAAAAAGCCATATTATTGGGCTTTCGAGCTGCAGTTGTGAGTGATGGACCTGAAGAGGTGAGGCTGTGGAAAGCTGTCCACCATCTCTGTGTCCACCAATCACAAGCTTCGCTCGGCAGGTGCTCGATGGTCTCACACTGATGGAGTGCTGATGAATCAGGGCTTGTTATTTGTATTGACATACTCATGAAGTTCAGTCCCTGAGGACACTTGGTCTGCAGGAGAGGAAACAGGTAACCAGGTAAACAGGGGACTAGGTAAACCAGGGCATCCCATCATAGGTACCATCTGACAAGTGACCTCTGCCATAACCATGTAGGTTACTGGCTTAGTACTGATGTAACTGCTCTGCTAATGTATGTGACTGATAAACTGTATTAGACACATTTTAGTGTACAGTCTACAGAGGGATGTCCATCACACAGACCTCTGATTGGCCGGATCCTCTTCCTGGTGTAAATTACAGCTCCAATGATCAGAGGCAGAGCCAGAATAAAGAAAAAAACAGCCAGTCGGATTGGCAGCTGTATGGCTGTGACGCTTCCTCCAGTCACATGGGGACAGAGGGAGAGTCAGGTTAGACTCCGAGCTGACGATGGGATGGCAGACAGAGGTGCTCCATGACCTCCTAACTTTGTTAATACATAGAAATTTTGACCTTATAAAAATATTTATGATAAGTTGGTTTGTAAATCGCAGCTAGATTTTTAGATGTCTGGTCTTACTGATGGAGGACTGGAGCTAATTTATTACTTCCTGTAGGTACAATGATTATATCATTTTATGTATTTGATATACCAGACAGTAGTGGTATATAATGGAATATAATATGTCAATACCGGTGCATCCAGTGCTTAGATTATGTTTTTATCTTGTATAAAGTATCAGGGGTGTTTAGTATACGAAGGCAGATGGCATTTGTCTAAGAGGTTGAGAGCAAACCCATTAAAATATCATACCAGTGCCACCTGGAGAAGGTGACGTGGCCATCGGCCCCACAGAGACAGTGCTGAAGCTGTCAGTTCCTGTCAGCACCACAGAGACAGTGCTGAAGCTGTCGGTTCCTGTCAGCCCCACAGAGACAGTGCTGAAGCTGTCGGTTCCTGTCAGCCCCACAGAGACAGTGCTGAAGCTGTCGGTTCCTGTCAGCACAACACAGACACAACCAATTATGACACATGACTAGTCACTGTTATGCCAAACTGAAATTTACAATCTCTTTATCCATATTCTACCAACCAGGTTACGAGGCAATAAAGAATAATGGCACTTGAATCCTGAGATCCTGAGTGTGTAATTCTCATCAAATGCCATGAGCTGTTCCATTAGCTTGGGGTCCTATAAGAACCATTAGTTACTGCATTGAAAAGTATGCACCCTAAATAATTTTAGATCAATAGCATATGCATATTATATATATCATCCATCTTCTATAGTCACTTGTCCTGTGCAGAGTCACAGGGGTTTGGGAACTGTGGGCACAAGGCTGGGAACAACCCAGGACAGGGCACCAACCCATAGAATTTGGCAACTCCAATTCAGCATAGCCTGTGTTTGGACTGTGGGGGAAAACCAGAGTACCCACAGGAAACCCCACGATGACACGGAGGAAGCAGGCAAACTCCACTCACATGGAGCTGGGCTGAGAATCAGAAGTGCGAATCAACAACGCTAATAACTGCGTCACACATGATCGCAATATAGCAGCATCAATACATAACGTAATACAGTCGGTGAATATGGGTGCATCCAGCATGGGTGTAAAGAGAAGAAGAGAAGCAGAGACCCTACCAGAGACAGTGGTTATGTAGCTGGCTGAGCTCTTCACTCTCCCATCCACAGTCAGCTGACACGTCCACTTCCTGTTGTGGTCTGACTGATCCAGAGTCACAGTCAGAGCAGACCGACACCTATTCTGATGAATATGGTACCTGGTATCTCCGTTTAGCTCACTGCCATTCTCATGAAACCACGTAAATTTGATTTCTCTCTCTGTAATGACTGTGCAGATATCATATCCATGCAGGGAGCAGGACAAAGTCACAGCTGTACCGACAGTAAATGGTTCCAGGTGAGGTGATGATGAGACTGTGAAAAGGACAATATTACATCATCTAGGTCAGGGATACTCAAATGATCTACGTCTAACAGGAAGGTATTGGTTCAAACATAGAAACAGAAGTTATGAGCATATTTATGTCTCATTTTAATGATCATTGAACATGGATGGCAAATAGACTCACAGCTATAAACTTCCATTGAACATGTAGTCCAGCAGAAACTATTAATGGCTTAAACAACATAATGAGTCACTTTGTTTAACGTGTTGATGTCACTTATTCCTTTACAACAGCCTGTTCAGCTACAGAGTTTGTACAGAGATCAGTTGTGGGACAAGACTGTAAATCTGATTATTCCAGTGTCAATAAAGATTCTAAAGGCTTCCATTGCCTTGTTAAAATAATCTATTTAAGGTTAAACCTCTCCTTGTAATCCTTCTTTTAATACATTACCCTAATCAGTAATGTGCCATTATTTTATATAATTTATGACTATTTTATCTCATATGACATGTAATTTGAGAAAGTGAAAAAAAAGAAATTATGGAACACGCTGCTCTATGTTATTTTTAAAGCAAGGGGAAAATATTGATCCTATTGTAGGAACACTTACTCTCAAGAATATTCAATAATAAATATTGACGATTTTCATTTTTTAATACACCGATATACAATCCAGCATCTTCTCTTCTCAGCTTGTTAATCTGTAGAGAGCAGTCTGGCAACAGTTTCATTTTTCTATCTTGGCCTACATCTGTGATCCTCCCCTCATTGACTAGAAAGGTAGCCACACGTCCCGGATTTGGAGTACAAGTCCAGGTTACTCTGAAGTAGTCATCAGATGCCTCAAAGCTATATGGTAGAATGATGTCATTTCCCTCAGTGGCAAACATGGATTTTTCCTTTTCACCTGAGAGAAATAAAAGATNGAATCAGAAGAATGTGGTGATGCACTAACTCGTCATAACCTGAAAAGCGGAGTTTGGAAACTGCTTGGATTTCAACAGCAATTTTTATCGTGGGGACTCCAATCCCCCAATAGGTGAACTTTACTGTCAACATTTCAAATTTCCATCAAGATACCATATTCCACGGTATCATGTATGGACAGTGTGATGGTATGAAAAATTCAATTCTGTCCAAGCCTAGTTAGGCATAGTCCAAACCAGAGGCTGCATTTGACTGCATGATGTCATTTAAGTTTTAAGTCTATAAAGCTGTGTCAGCTGTCAGTCATTTGACATTTCATGCCACAATTTAAATAACTTTGTTTCAGCAGGTGTTTGTCCTGTCAGTAATGTTATTGTTCCTCACTTAAGATAGCAACAGGCTAACACAGGGGTGTGACAACAGCGCTACTGACAGCACCACCCACTGGCCTAAGGATCACCTTACACATACAAAGGAATGTATGCTTAAAGCAAAAGGGAAAACTGTCACCCTCTTAAAGGCAGAGCTGGCATGATGGAACAAAGAGCATGGCGGGGGAGGGAAACAGACCCACACCGCTGGGGGAGCAGCTTCCAGTAATTTGCTGCTTGAATCCAAGGGGTCAAAAACTACATTTGCACTGCGGTGTACAGTTAACCACAGATGTGTTTTCTAAAGCATCCTGCATGCTTGTGTTCAGCGTTTAATAGTCTGTGAAAAGGTATGATTAAAGTATATTAATTTAATACATTTTCAAGCCAGAGTTGAATGTGTTTTTTTCGTGTTCCGTGCCCTAACGTCCCTCAGCCTTTTACTTCTGATAACATTGTACAGCCCTCTTCCTGTTTGATTGGATGGTTCCACAAATTATGGAAGTGCAAGGCATTCTGGGACATCTGAAGTGGGTGACAACATGCAAAATGAAAACGATACAGCTCACACGGCAGCAGATACAGCAAAGCAAAAGTACTTTTGAGGAATACTTGTTCAGAATCACTATAGGCTGAGATCTGTCCATACGAAAGGAAAACCGCGAACTAAACATACTTGCTGTAGAGTGGCGTGCCATCTGAAGGCGAGAGCAACTCATACTTACCTGGCAGGGGAGATACCATGATCAAGAAGGTGGTTCACCCAGGGCGAGGCTCAACCATTGCACTCCGGCTGTGCTGACCCCTGCGAATTCCCCAAATGTGGGAATCTCGACTGCATAATTTCTGGTAGTGGGGGACTGCGTCCGCGCTCTCCCCTGATCACTGGTGTAACAAGAGATATGATTGTGTCACACCATGGGGGTGCTGTTTCCTCTAGTTAGGATGCTTTGAGGTTTGGGCGCACATCGCGATCACCAACCTAAAGTTAAACTCTAAAGCCCCTGACCACTGGTGTATGTGTTTGTGTGCATGAGCGTGAACAAACATTTACTGAAAAAAAAACTTCTTTAAAATAACTTAAACCTTTATTCTGTTAAGTTTTTTTGAAATGTTTTTGATGCTTGTTACTAAATGCTGCTTACTAGTTTCTATCCGGGGGTGCTCCCTCCAGAGACAGCAGGCAAGGTCGGTGACAATCTCCTGACGTAATCATGTTGCGAGAATATTACCCTGTCTGCAGGCCTGAGCCGCCCTGTAACGGTTATAGTCCGGGGCACGTATGGGACAATATGCTTAAATTCTTTATTAATTCTCCATACTGTAAAACATTGCTTGACCATATAATTTCACACCTAAAACATGACGACAGGACTTTTGCTGTCAGAAAATAATGCATTTGCTTAAAATAACACATTGACAAACACGACAAATGTTTTTCTTTTATCCCTTAAATTATTAAAATAACTAAGGTATTATTCTACCAAAGTTTTAAAAATGTTTTTGAAGTATGTAGCTAAATACCGCTCACTTTAGTTCCTATCCAGGATTGCGGTGCCATTTCTGGATCGAACACACTCCTTGCGCTGTCTTGTTTTATGAAATGTGCAAAACTTTATCGTAGAGCTGGGCGATAAATAGATTTAATCGATTAATTCGAATTTACAGTTCAGGATGATGTTTTCATGAAAATCGATTTTATTACTTTTTTTACACACGAGTGCCAAAAGCGGAACTAATGCGACGCACCATTCTTCACGGGTAAATTAGTGCGGCGCACCCAAACACTGTAGCAGATTCACTAACAACATGGCAATGATTAGGGTTGGGTACCGAAATCCGGTGCCGATACGGAACCGGTACCAATATAACCGGTATGTACCGGACCGAAACAGAACGCGAATTTCGGTTCCTCATTTCGGTGCCGCTTAGATGCCTGAACTGTCGATTGAAATATTTGTTCTCTGGGGCTATGATGACACAGTTGTAATAAACATCAGATTCATCAACACACACGTGACATCATCTGGAAATGAGTCCAT